AACATCTTTACAATAATCAAGTTTTCTTCCATGAATATGGTATATTGTGCCATGTTTAATTAGTTTTTCTCTTAGTTCTTTCAACAATATTTTATAATTTCTCCATAAAGATACTGCAAGTTGTTCATTAGATTTATTCCCAGGTACTTTATGTTATTTTACACTATTACAAATAACACTTTTGAATTGCATTTCTACATGAAGCAAAGAGTCTAAAAATGTAATTTGTATAATGGTTTTGCATTCAAATTTAAGCTTTTAGTAATCCTAATAATTCACCTGTAGATTTTTCTGGGTTACATATTTAATCATATTACCTGCAAGTAATGATAGCTTATCTTTCTTTCTAATTTATGTGTGTGTGTGTTTTTACTTACTGCACTTATTAGCCATCTAGGACAATGTTGACTAAAAGTGACATTAGAAGGCACCCTTGTCTTTTGCCTGATATCAAAGAGAATGAGTGATTTCAATATTTTACCATTAAATATAAATGTGATGAAGGCTGGTAAGTTTTGAAAAAGAAAAGCTTTCATAAAGTTAAGAAGGGCTTTTTTATTCACTGACTTATGAAGAGTTTTACTGCAAACAGATCTATCGAGATGCTCACATGATTCTTTTCCTTTAAACAGTTAATATGGTAACTTATATTAACTTATTTTCTAATATAACAACAACCTTGAAATTACAGGATAAAACCAACTTGGTTATGATGTATTACTTTTTTATTAATTGCTAGATCAGTATGATTTAACTTATGAATTTTTACACCTATGTTTGAGTTAAAGTTGTGCTGCAATTTTCATTTCTCATACTTTCCTTGTCATGCTAGCTTCATAAAATGAGTTGGGGACTGTTGTCTCTTTTTCCAAACTATGGAATATTTTCTGTAAAACTGGAGTTATTGTTCCTTGGATGTTTTATAGAACTTACCAGTAAACCTGTCTGGAACTCTTTTTTTTTTTTTTTTTTCCTGTGAGAAGATTTTTCTTTTTTGTTTTAAGACTATTAGATTTCCTATTCCTTCTTGAGCCAGTTTAAACTATGTTCTTCCAGGAATTTGTCCATTTGATCTAAGTTTTCAACTATATGAGCATAAAGATACTCATTCCTGAAACATCTCCAGTAATCTCCTCCTTTTTTCATTCAGGATACTGGTTAGTGACTTCTTTCCTTCCTTGACCAATCTTGTCAAGGTTTGTCAATTTTGTTAGTCTTCTCAAGTAACCTGTATTTAGCTGCATTGCTTCCTCTCTGTTTTACTTTTGTTTTCTATTTCATTTATTTATACCAACATTTTTATTACTTCCTTTTTGCTTTAATTGGGGAAGCATTCTCTTGGTTCTTTTTCTAATTCTTCAGAAGGATGCATGGTTATAATTTTTCAGCCTTTATCTCTGTAATGTAACCATCAAAGTCTATAAATTTCCATAAAGTGTCACCTTACCTATATCACACAAGTTCTTACATATAGTATTTTATTACTTCTAAATTATAAATATTTTCTGATTTTCATTACAAGTTTTTCTTTGACCCATGCATTATTTGCAAATGTACATCTTCATTTCTAAACTGGCGGGAAATTATGTTGTTATTTGTATCTAAATTAATGGCATTGTAGACAGAGAATGTAGTATGGTGCCAATTATTAAAATTTGTTAAAACTGGCTGTATTTGACTGGAATGTGATCAATTTTTCCAAGTGTTCCTCATGTGCTTTAGAAGAATTCTGTAGTTTAGGATGCAGTGTTCCATAAATGTCCATTACATCAAAGTTGTTAATCCTATTATTAAAATCTTCTGTACTCTTGATCTTTTTTGCTTGTTCCAATATTTATTGACAGGTTATTTTAAATCACTGTTTCCATAATGATGGGGATTTGTCTATTTATTCTGTGATTCTAGTTTTTGCTTAATATATTTTGAAGTTATATTTATCATTACTTAGTGACCCCCCTCCCCAGGAAAGCTTTGGCCTCAAAATCAACTTCATATGATATCAACACAGGCACACAATCTTTCTTTTGGTTAGCACTGTCAAATATATGTTTTTTTTTTAATCCTTTTTATTTTCAAGCTTTCTATATCCTTTTTAAAGGTGTATTTCTTACAAACAGCATATAACTGGATTTTGTTATTTTAACCAATCCAATAATGTTTCTGTTCTTTCTTCTCCTCCTTGTCCTGCTTCCCCCTTTTTTTAGATTATTTTTTCCCGTTTCATGTCCCTCCCCTACTAATTTGGAAGATACATACACCATTTCTAGACATTTAATATCCTAGAAATATTAACATGTATATTTTATTTACCGAAGTCTAGAGCTAATCAATAATCTTAACCTTGTCTCAAGTTTTAGACCGTGTTTGTCTGTATCTGTGGGAGAAAGATGCAGGAGTCTGCTTCCTTAAGGATTTCAGCTCTGGAAGCCCTATGGGGCAGTCCTACTCTGTCCTACACAGTTGCTATGAGTCGGCATTGACTCAATGGCAATGGGATTGGTTTTTTTGCTTTTGTCTATACCTCATATTTACACTTCCTGTGTTCTTATCCTTTTTGCATTTCAGACCCTCCATCTGCAATCACTTTTCTTATCTTGTGAAAATATCAGAAACTCAGAGCATGTAATGGTGAAAGTATCATCATTACTGTTACCTGCACTGCTGACTTAACCAAATACCCTGAAGACAGTCGGCAGTCCCTGGGGCTGTCTACAACTCAGGTGAACATGAACAAGGTAGGTGTCAGCGTGACCATGAACCCTCAAAGTAGCTAACACCTTACCTTACCTCCCTCCTCTCATGCTGAGCATACACTGCCAGAAAACAGACTGTCAACATCTGCCTTATTGCCCTAAACCAGCTTTGAAACTGGTACAGTAAAACTTCATCTCCATCTATTATGAAAAAATGGAGTGAAGATGATGTCCTGACTTGGTGAAAGTTAAAATTAGATAGTATTTTATAGCCATCAAGTTGTACTATTTTAACACATGATATGCAAGACAAATTAAGTACATAAATAAGGTACATCAAGGTATGCATGAATACTAATAAAATGAGGTTAATTTGATTAAAAAATATACAGTATATAATAATGTATGAAGCACAAAAGCCCTTAAGATGCAAATGAGATCACACATGTGAAATACTTAGAACACTGATTTATAAATAAGGCACTACTTTTTACATAAGAATTATTAGAGATTGAAACATGATAAAATGTATTTCCTCAGCACTTGGTCTAAGAAAGACACTGGTTTTAACCCGTTTATTTTGTAGTATATAGTGTAACTTCCAAAGCAAGGGTGATTTTTTAATAAGAAAAACATACCAGGCCTGAATTAAAGCTATTTTGAAGGAGTAACATTCATGCAAATGAAGTTTACTTTATTTGGAATTTAAAAGTTTTGTAGATGCCTCGTTATTTTAACACAGACGATAAAACAGCAGCTCACTTATTAACTTCGTTTATCACAGGCAATCCAGCACTGGATCATGCCAGCTGAAAGTATGGCCAGGATCATCTCATTGTACTTTACTAAATATCGACGGTAGAAAACTAATACCAAAGCACATGTAACAAGCTCACAAAATGGAAATCTACACAGAACCATTAATAAATGCCAGAAATAATTCAGAAAATTTCTAATAACCATAAACGCAGAAGCTTTTACATCTTCAAAGAACTATAATTAATGGCAGTAAAATCATCCTATTCCATAGGATTTTAAGTCCACAACACATTTGTTTGGGTTGTGATATATTTTGAAAAAAGGAAAAAATAAAAACCTGTAATTCCTCACAAAAGTGCACAGCACAGAAATGCATAGCCAATTTGGTGCATAGATTTCAGCAAACAACTCTAACCTAAGGCCAATTTCTGCTTCTAATGAACTCAGCCTTTTATTGATATTGATGCTGATGGTGTAGAAGTGGCGGTGATGACAGTAAGGATGATGGCAGCACCATTTTACAGCGATTACTATGTGACTCTATCAGCATTGTAGTATGGATAAGCAAAAACTCAAATTTCAGGAAAGCAGGACAAATCAGCCTTTACTATTACAGCTTTCCCCACTTTTAATAAAGCAAGTATATATATATTCTTGAATTTTTAATCATTTTAGCATTTAATAATTCAAGAAACATAAACGATGAATTATATAATCATGTCATTCCCTTTCACTCCCGGGATAACATCCAAACTCAGAAAGGCATACTGGTCTTCATTTTCTTCCTATCTCATTCTCTAGCCTCATCTCTACCTATTCCTCCACTCACCCCACACATTTCAGCCTAACTGACTTGCAGGTGCCACAATACGTGTATACATGTGTCGCCTTTGCACATATGCAAGGTGTGGAACCCCTTTGCAGTAAATACTTTGTCCTTTTGGTCCTGGTTCCTCAGAGCTAGATCACACCTGAGGCCAATGAGTGAAGGCTGACCAGCCCAAGAAGGACTACCTGGGGGTCGATGCTGACTAACCCTCAGGAGGCATGATGTAATCTATCATGGCCATGTGGTGAGGCCAACTGAAAGACTGAGGCTCAATGGAGCTTTCTGGGTGGGGAGACCTACCATCTGCTCCAGGGAAGGTAAGCTTGTCTCCTGGAGACATGGAAGCTCTGTGCCAAGACCCCTCCAGGACCTCACCCTGTGTGTTTGTATCCTTTTTTCTGTTAAAGATGGTCCTATCCCTGGAGTTTGTGAGTCGTTCCAATGACCTAAGAAACTGAGATGACCTTCCCTGGGTGAATGGAAATGAGAAAGAAAGGGCTACGTGGAGTAGCTGAGGTCTGAGCTGAGCAGGAAGGGAAAGCGAGATTCCTATAGGAATCAGCTGGTGTGTAGAGTGGGCTTTGTTATCCACCACATAATCTGGCATCAGAGGATGCACCTTTCCACATCTTTACTTGGATAACCCACACACGTCCTTTAACACTTGGCTTAAGCACCATCCCCTCTACATGTATGTGATAGAATATAATATCACTTACCACACTGTATTTTAAAGGCTTGTTTTCCTGTTTTTCTTCCACACTATACTGTAAGCTCCTTGGGCCAAAGTATTCCAGAGTCTCATTTCCTAGCACATAGTAATCCATCATATTCATTCTACAGATGAGCAAATTTAGGCCCAGATAAACTGGATTATCTTCCCAATGTCAAAGGGCAATTAATGGCAGAGCCAATATAAGAATCTTAGACTCTAGCTTCCATTTCAATGCTCTTTCCACAAATGCACCGAAGGATATCAGATCAGAAGGCATTATGCAAAAATACCTAAAATATTCAGACCACACACAGAACTGAAAGGAATATAAAAAGTGATAACTGTAAAAAAAAAAAAAAAAAAGATACAAATTAGTTATAAAGGATGTTCAAAAAATTGGAATAATTTGATAATACAGTGACAAAAAAACAAGTCATATAGAAAAAACTATCTTGAAAATAAGAATTATGTGGGAGTTAGTACAGTGACATCTACTTTTTTCAGAACACGAAAAAGACAAATATGAGTAAATAATCATGTATCTGTAATCAATTCAGCAAAGCTCAAAGTAACTAATTTTTTTATTCTCTAGCAGTAACAAAATGGGGGGTAAAGTATATAACTAAAAGTTAACAAGATCAAGCATTTATGCCAAGGTAATACTAAAAGAAAAAAACAGCTTGATTTGGTATATAAATTTACCTTTCTGTTTTTTTTGGGGGGAGTTATAAGAAGTAACATAATTTAAATGAAAAATCACCAATCTAAGCAGAATGAACTAAAAAAATTCAATTTACAAATAAAAATAAAACAATTCAGATGTATATGCTTTAATCATGCATCAAACAGGAAAACAAAGCCTAAGCACATCTTACTAAGTCAAGTCATCTTTGGGGTGGAGGGGACAGGGAAGGAAAATTCTTCCCTCAGGATTAATCATTCATTCAGTAAGCACTGAATGCCCACCATGTACCAGGTACGATATACTATGCTGAAAATAAACGGCAGTGACTAGCAACACAGATCCTAAAGCCGGACTAACTGGATTCAAATCCCTACTCGACCACTTACTAGCTATGGGATCTTGGGTAAATCACTTAATCTCTCTCTGCCTGTTTCATCATCTGTAAAAAGGGCCTAAAAACAATATTTACTTAACAGGGTTACGGTGAGAATCAAATGAGTTAATAAATGTAAATTACTTTAGAACAACACTTGGCATATAAAAAACCCAAAACCAAACCTGCTGCCATCGAGTCAATTCCGACTCATAGCAACCCTACAGAACAGAGCAGAACTGCCCAACAGAGTTTCCAAGGAGCAGCCGGTGGTTTCGAACTGCTGACTTTTTGGTTAGCAGCCGAGTTCTTAAACCACTGAGCCACCAGGGCTCCGCCTGGCATATACTGAGCAATATAAATGCAGTCGATAATACAATTATAGCTACAAAAGCTACTACTACCTACTAAGCATGCCAAGATGAGTAAGACCATCTTCATCCTAAAGGGAACCAAGGTCAAGTAAGACAGACAGACATATAAACAAACCATAATACAGGAGCACAATAACAGAAGTATAAAAGAACGATTCACTGGTAGAAAGATAAAATATTTTTCTCTGCATAGTGCATTGAATTGCTTTAATATGGCCCCTCTAGCCATGGTCTCGTAAACTTCACAAAATAACTGGGTGGGACTATGCAAATAAGGTGCTTATGGCACACCAAGGGGATTGAACAGTTTTGCTAATGCACATAAGGTGCATGGAACCCTTGCATGAGGTAGGACTATTCAAATAAGGTGCATGGAACCTTTGTAGGGGATTGGTCAGTTTTGCCATCCTGCTAGGCTTAAAGGAAGCCAATCCCAGAGGCTGGGGCAGAGGGGAACTCACCACCATCAAGAAGAAGAGCTGGGAGTAGAGTGCATCCTTTGGACCCAGGGTCCCTGCACTGAGAACCTCCTAGACCCACAAGAAGAGACAGTTGTAACACTGAAGATGGCACAAGACAGCAGCACCATGGGACTAGCAGGCTAGGCCTGCTGACCTACAGAGCGAGAGAGCTGAATGCTTCAGGTAGGAGGCTTCCTAGTTGAGTGGGGTGCCTCTGGGCACTTAACAGTGGAGCTAAAGAGCTTTGTAGCACTTGCCCAAGCAGGGCCAAAGGCCAAGTGAGAGGCCCACCTGCAGCAAAGCCAAGAAGAAGCTATCCTGATCAAAGAACTGTATCCTGAGTTGTTCCTGGTACTTCCAAGTTGATTCTGATCCTGAATTGTAACCTGTTACTTCCCTAATAAGCTCCATAATCATGACTATGTTCTGTGAGTTCTGTGTGGCCATTTCAATGAATTATCAAACCCAGCAGAGAAGTACAGTGTGCCGCGGGAGGGATGCTTGGTGTCAGAATTGGTAAAAAAGTTGGAGAGTGGACGTATGTCTGACCTCCACCTCATGGGAATCAGCCATGGGCTGAGGTTGATCTTGATCCTCCTCTCTCACTCTGAAGTTAGACGAGGTCTGGCACCACCATGCCATCACTTTCACACTCTGACAAATGGGAAAGGGGTCAGAGAAGGCATTTTGGAAGAAGTAGTATGTGAGATTAATTCCTGTTTACCTTTCAAAATATACCAGAAAGCATGGGGTGGTGAAAAAGTAAGTTTATTTCAGGTAGAGGGAAGGAAGGTATATTCAAAGGCATGGAGGCAAAAAAACAGCTGTAGATACAAGAATCTCCAAGAAGAAGGCAGGAGGAGGGAGGTAGTCAGAAGACAGTGGAAGAAGCAGTAGGGCAGGATCATAAATTAGGGCCTTGTATGCCAAGCTGAGGATCTTGGTTTTTATCCAATCAGCTAACAAAGAGCCAGGGAAGGGATTTAATTAGGAGAATTATTGAATCAGACTTTCTTTTTCCTAAATTTTTATTTTGTTGTTGTTGTCAAGAATATACACAGCAAAACATACACTAATTCAACAGTTTCTACGCGTACAACTTAGTGACATTAATTACATTCTTCAAACTGTGCAACCATTCTCACCATGCTTTTCTGACTTGTTCTTCCCTGAATAACATAAACTCACTGCCCCCTAAGGTTCCTATTTAATCTTTTGAGTTGCTGTTGTTAATTTGATCCCATGTAGATAGTTCTTAAAACAGCATAATGGTCAAGGCAGACCTTTTTCACTACAGATTTTTTTTAAAGATCATTTTGGCAGTAGCCTGGATGACAGAAGAGTAGGGAGAGACTACAAGGAAGGAAAACAAATTAGCAGCCTAGTAAAAGAGTTCAAGTGAGAAAGGAGAATCTGAAGACCACAGAAATAGAAATGAAGAGGAAAGGACTGATTTGCTAGCAAGATAGGATGTAGAACTGACAGATCTAGTGACTGTCAAGCAACAGAATAGATGGGTAACCCTCAGTTTTAACTTGTGAGCTCCATATGTAGGCAGTAGCACCATCAAAATAGGGCAGGCAGAAGGAAGAAAAGACTAGGTGGGAGATGAAAGGAACTCAACTTTGGACATAGGAAGTTTATGAGTCCTGAGGGATTTATAAGCAGAGAAGTTGCACAGACAACTATATATATGTATTGGCGCTCAGTTCAGTTCAGGGCAAGAGATAAAGATTTTGAAAACATCAGCATATAGGTGGCAGCTAATAAGAAGAAAGTTGGGTCAAACTTATAGTTAGGGGGTATTGAGTGAAAAGAGAAGCAGAAGAAGGACAAAGTCCTGGGTACTATCAAAGATAAAGAGGCTCTAAGAGATAAGAATGGGAAGAGAGATGAGAAAGTAAGAAAAGAGTACGTAGTAATATAGAAAAGAATAATACTAAGAGTAAAATAATAAGCAACATACTTCAGGGGTTCAACAATATCAAATACCATGAGGTCAAATAAGATAAGAAGTGGGAGATGTTCATGGGGTTTGGAGGTCACTGGGGACCTTTGCCAATGCAGCTTCAGGGGAGCAGTAGGGGTGGAATCCTTATCGCAGTGAGCCAAGGAACTTGGAGACGACTGAAGAAACTACTGTATCAAAGGATAACATTATGGCCCTCAATGAACTCAAGATAAACAGAAGATTTGAACAATTTCCCCACGTAAAGAGAAAAATTATGGAACATGAAAAAGAACCGGTACTGTGCTAAATTCATTAAAACCAGGTGGAATAAAGAGGCCACGAGACTAACATTCACATTCTGCTTCACTACAGTCACTGTCCTTAGGCATCTTTCTCAGAAACTTGTCTCAGAGAATTAAAAATGTGTCAACAACGTGAAACATCTTGGACACTGACCAGGCACAAGGCAACTGCTCTCCATTTAAAAATGTATAGAACCAAGATTGGTGTTCCTCTACAATCCTAAACTTTGTTTTTTTTCAGTTAAGCCCTAAAAGACATTCACACATTCTCTAGAAATTCAAATATAAATTCTCGTACTGAATTTTGCTGAATTAAGACCAAGTTTTTGCCTCTTGCAAAGTACTCAAGGCTACCTCAGGCAGGTTTGTACATGAAGATCAAAACAAGGTATGAACAAAAATTAATCTGAAATGGATCACAGGCCTAAATGTTAAAGCTGTAACAGGGATAAAAAGCACACAGCTTAAAAGAATAAAATGATAAATTAAAATTCATCAAAATTTAAAACTTCTTCACTTCAAAGATACCATTAATAAAATTAAAAGGCAAGACACAGGTTGGAAAAAATACTTAAATTATACCCAACAAAGAACTTGGATCCATCAGACTGACTATATAAAGAACTCCTACGACTCCGTAATAAAAAGACAAGCAAACCAATTAAAAATGGACAAATGATTTCAACAGACATCTCACAAAAGAAGATATACAAATGGCCATCAACAGATGTTTAACATCATTAGTCATCAGGGAAATTCAAATTAAGACCAAAATGATACTATCATACACCTACCTTAACACCTAAAAAAAAAGATGGACAACACCAAATGTTTGCAAGGATGTGGAGCAACGAGAATTCTCATACAACTACTGGTGGAAATATAAAATATTACAAGCACTTTGGAAAAGAGTTTGGTAGTTTCTTACAAAGGTAAAAAAACAAAAAAATAAAAACCGTTGCCGTTGAGTTGATTTTGATTCATAGTGACCCGATCGGACAGAGCAGAACTGTCCCACAGGGTTTCCATGGAGTGCCTGCAGGACTCGAACTGCCAACACCTTTTGGTTAGCAGTCGTAGCTCTTAACCACTAAGCTCCCAGGGTTTCCTACAAAGGTAAACACACACTTAAAGAAAATGACTCAGCAATTCTACTTCTAGAGAAACGCAAACATATATCCACACAAAAAATTTCTGTAAATGTTCATAGCAGCTTTATTCATTATAGTCAAGAACTGGAAACAAGCAAATATCAATTGGTGAACAAATAATCAATTGTGGCATACTCATGCACATGGAATACTATTCAGCAATAAAAAGGAATGAATTACTGATACCTGAATCCATGATCTGTGGATGAACCTCGTCACACTATGCTGAGCAACAGGCAGACACCAAAGTGTATACACCGTCTGTTTCCATTTATATGAAACTAGGAAAGATAAATCTCATCTCTAGTAACCAAAAGCAGGTCCTTAGTTGCTTGGGCCCTGGGGAGGGAGGAATGACTGAAATGAGGTATAAGGGAACTTTTCAGGGTAAAGGAAATGCTCTATATCTTAGCTGTGGTGGTAGTTTCACAGATGTATAAATGTATCAAAACTTATCAAAATGTACATGCATAATGGTACTTTTTACTGCACGTAAATTAAACCTCAAAGTTTATTAAACAACAACACAACAGAGAACATTTTAACTTTTGTCTTACCACTGCCCTGATCTAACCATAGGAACACAGTAAGACAACCATCTTCTTAAGGAGTTTTCCAGGCCAAATGATGTATGAAAAGCTGCAGATTCCACACTGCTTAGGCCATTCAAATATAAAACATGAAGCTGAGTTTCCTTCGTCTTGGGCTCTTTGAGTTATGCAATAAAATAACACCAGTGCATTATCCTTGAAGTCCATGTCAATAGTATACATAAAAGTGTTATGGTGAAGACTCTTTCAACATAATGCTCCTTAAAGAGAGTCCAAGACAACCTTCCTCAAACTAAAAGTCCTAACACAAACAGCCTTGTTGAAGGCCAGAACAACTAAGCAAAGTTTAAGGTCAAAGCTACAGAAACAATGAATTTTAAAACAACATCCTGTTAGATGACAGTTACATTAGAGTTAATATTGGACGAGAGGATTAGATTTGGCCAAGGTGACACAGCTAGTAAATTACCAGATCAACTAGTCTCTTTAACTATTGTTTTCTCTTCTTAAGAAAGAAATGCTGTACTCAAAAGGGTGAACTCCAGATACATTGTTGTTGCTGTCAGGTGCACTCAGTTGCTTTTCGACTCACAGCAACTCCATGTGACAGAGTAGAACTGACCCACAGGGTTTTCTCGGCTGTAGTCTCTACGGAAGCAGATCGCCTGGTCTTTCTCCCGCAGAGTTGCTGGGCGGGTGCAAACTGCCAGGTGGGTTTGAACCACCAACTTTTCAGTTAGCAGCTACCAGTTTAACTGTTTGTGCCAGAAGGGCTCCTTCTAGATACACGAAAGACCTGAATATGAAAGGTAAAACTATAAAAACAGGAAAAAATATTTCTGCAACCTATGGATTAGGAAGGATTTCTTACCATCTACAAACTCAAAAATTTGATACATCTGAATACATTAAGGATTCCTGCACCACAGTCCAAATTAACAGAAAATTAACACATTGGGGAAAACATCTGTGATGTCTAAAACCTCCAAAGGATTACTATTTCAAATACACAAAGAATTCTAGAAAATCAACAAGAAAAAAATGGAAACTCAGTCAAAAAATAGGCAAAGAGTATGAGTAGGTCAGATAAGGAATGGGAAATCCAAATGTCCATGAAGGAAAGGAAGACATGATCAACTTCACTGGTAACCAGAGAAACATAAATTAAGGCAATCATGATATTCTATTTAAAAACTGTCAAATGAGCAAAATGCTGGATGTTGTACAATACCGAAGACTGGCAGAATGTGAGAAAACAGGAATTGGTACACATTGTTGGTGAGGGCAAAAATTGGTGTAGCCATTTTAGAAATAATCTTGTGGTAGTTAGTGATATTAAATACGTGACTAGCCCATAACTCAGCAATACCACTCCTGCATCTACGTCCCCAAAAAATTCTTCCACCACTATTAAGGACGTGTACTAGTCACCAGTTGCCATCAAGCTGGTTTTGATTTATGCTGACCCCACGTGTGGCAGAGTAGAACTCTGCTCCACAGGGTTTTCAATGGCTGGTTTTTCTCAAGTAGCTCACGAGGTCTTTCTTCCCAGGTGCCTCTGAGGCACCACCCGGTGAACCCGAACAGTCACCCTTTTGGTTAGCAGCCAAGCACCAACTGCACCACATGTAGGAGGGTGTTCATTACAGAATTATTTGTATCCAATAATTGGCGGTAACCTGAGTATCCAGCATTACGGGAATGGAATAAAGTCATCTGTATTAGATACAAACCATGAAATACAGTCCACAGAAGCAAGGAACCAGATATACATACAGTGACATGAACAGATCTCAAACAACGCTAGATGAAGTAAAATACATAGCAAAACAGCAGTTATGTAAATACAAAACACACAGTGAACTACACAGGTTTACAAGGACACATGCATAACCAAGAACATATGTAAAACACATCAGACTGGGTACAAGTGAGGGTTGGAAGGTATAAAGTGCATGAGAGTTGAGACTGGGAATGAAGGAAAAAATAATAATCCAAAAAGAGACGGGCCACGTATAGACTGATAATGACAGTATGCCTCCAAGCAATGAAGCCCTGGTGGCACAGTGGTTAAGAGCTTGGCTGCTAACCAAAACGTCGGCAGTTCAAATCCACCAGCTGCAACCTGGAAACCCTATGGGGCAGTTCTACTCTGTCCTACAGGGTCACTATGAGTCAGAATCGATTTGACGGCAACTGGTTTGGTTTCTGGTTTTTAACTAAGTAATACTAACCTAACTCTATATCTGAAAGGTCTTAAGTGATAGTCATATCAACTACTAAATTTGACAAACTTATGCATATGGAGTAGAAAGTCCCTTTTCTGAGATGACTGAATATTCTACATAATACATTTTGGTTTTAACTATAAGAAATTTGAAAAGTTAATTCACAACATCGAGTTATTCCTTGTTACCATCATAGATAAATATGCTCAAAATGGTCCATAAAAGGACACTGAGCTAGGAGCCTGAAACGCTGTGGCACAGGACCAGGCAGTGTTTTCCTTGTCATACAGCTTCATGGCAACTGACAACAGCCCAAGCAAACTAGTAACATGAACTTGGGAAAGTCATTTTACCTTTTTGAATCTGTTCCTTAATCTGTAAATACGATTTTGGATGATTCTCTCAAATCCCTCCAGCTGCAAAATTATTTCATTTTATGTTATTAACATTTATTCACGTGAAATTATTTTCTCTCTCCTCAAACTACTCGGCCCCCACCCCTAGGGAAAAGCAAAAAGCAAGAGCATGGACAGAGGTTTAGAAAAGTGATGTAGCAATAGGAATGAACAGCAACTTAGTTTTAGGGTAGAAAGGAGAAAACCTTAAAGAGACAGTGATTTTCATCGCCTTTTTAAGTGTCCAAGGCAAAGCAAGGTTAACTTTAACCCAGATACCGGCAGGGACGCTACAACCACTACCCAACCTATTGTTACTGATATTTATAGGTACATATTAAGTATATATTGATATTCATAAAATAGTACAGTTATAAAATGGTATTTTAGGAATGTTTCCATTTCATATTTTGTGATCAGTGAGAAATATCAATGTATCAATAAAGCCTACACCTGAAATTATGTCCCTAAGTAGATTTGGTTTAACAATATTGACTATGAAAAGCAAAGATAATAACAAAAATCTATCCCCTCAATGGATTTTACTATGTACTATTCCACATGTCATTATATCTGTCTGGTATTATTACCTCTCTGCAAAAAACATGTTCAAGTTTCTTCTGAAATTCTACTTGAAGGCCCTAAATTTCAGTCTAGTTGTATCATTTTAAAAAATGATGTTGGACAAGAAGATCTTAAAAGTTTCTTCCATATACAAAAATTTGTGATAATCAACAAATTAGTCACATTCTGAGAAGTGTCTGCTGAACCAAAAACCAAGCATTCTGTTAGAATTTTGAATTAAATGAATATAAAGGTCTTAAGAATAAAGGAAATCAGAATACACTGTAGGTTGGTGATCGTGAATAATAATGGTGTCACATTTTATTTCGAAAAATTAAAACAATATTTAGAATATCTAAATAATTGAAATTAGAATATTTTAAAACAGAACACAGAGGATTTTCAATATTCTTAGACTACAACAATAAACATGAGAAACTATCATCATTTGCAGACTTATCTTCCATTCAGACTTAATTGTAAGTATGAGCAGGTGGGGAGGGCAGTTGAGAGTCACAAAACATCAGTTACTAATAATCCCAACACAGATGTAGTTGTTACTACAAAAAAGATGACGGGAGTTTTTCCCAGATTGCTATACTATGTCTTGTGCCAGCAGCTGTAGTTTATACCTCAAAGTCCATCTATCAGGTCTCAATCAATATTGTTAATCATGTGAAGGAATGTGTATTTGGACTGATAAATGCAATCTCTCTGTATACAGGGAATGTGTATTAAACAACAAGCAGTTGTTTGAAGAAATAACTTCCTAGAGAATTAAAAAGAAAAATCATCTAATAAAGTTTCACAGACAGAAATAAACACTTGAACTAAGCTTTTTTGCTCTTCCTTTTGGAATCTTATAATTTACCTACAACCTAAATGATATATTCCAAAGGATGTTTTAACAAAATCAATGAAGTGAGTTCTAAATATTAAGATAAAATCTTCAGGCAAATTTTACTATTTGAAAGCATTCTGCTACTTAAGTAGTACATGATATTGCCATATTGTCAAGCAACCTCATTTCGTGTTAAGAAACAGCGTAACCCACGTCCATCGAAGTTAAAATCCAGACACACTCATGCCACACTGCAATTTTTTATCTTATTTAGTAAAACTGACGTCCTAAAAATGCTTCCTGTAGGAATACAATACTCAAAACACTATCTCATCCAAAGGAAATATTATTTCCTATACCAACAGTGAGAAAAGGGAAGACCCTCAACGAGATGGACTGACACAGTGGCTGCAATAATAGGCTCAAGCATAGCAACTACTGTGAGAATGGCGCAGGACCGGACGGTGCTTCGTTCAGCGGTGCACAGGGTCACTATGAGTCAGAATCAACTCGATGGCACCTAATAACAACAACATACTAACATCTATATATCATAATTACATTTTAACTGGGGTTGTTAGAAAACCTTTTCCACTATGCGTGTATCAGTTAAGCTTTATTTTATACTTTCATTGTATGCCTTGTCCAATGATTACTTAGCTCGTGATATATATAACATCTAGCCTTTTAAAAAGTATTTTTTAAAATATTTTATCACATTTTCTAATCAGGGCATTTTCCTAGTTTGAATTTTTTGAATCTTCTTTCAACAGCGCACTTTTATCTTAGCTTCTGTCTCTATTACAAATAAACAACATATATTTCCCCCCAAATTAGAGATCATGCTGCAAAGGCTAGAAATCTTTTTCAACCACAAGCTCTATTTCTACAGTGTCAAGTCCTCTAACCTCTCAGTGCACTTCTGCACACTAATGTGGATCTGCTTCCAACACCTCCTGACTCTCCTCCTCCTCCACTGCAACTCAACGCAGGACCCACAAGCAAACATCATGATCAGCGGAGAAAAGACTGACGTTGTCAAGAACCTCATTTTACCTGGATCCACAATCAATACCCGTGGAAGCAGCAGTCAAGAAATCAAACCATGTATTGCACTGGGCAAATGTGCTGCAAAAGCCCCACCTCTTTAAAGTGTTAAAAAGCAAAGACGTCACTTTGAGGACTACGATGGGCCTGACCCAAGCCATGGGATCTTCAATTGCCTCATATGCATGTAAAAGCTGGACAATGAATAAGGAAGAATGAAGAAGAACTGATGACTTTAAAGTATGGTGTTGGTGAAAAATACTGAATATACCATGGACTGCCAGAAGAATGAACAAATTTGTCTTGGAAGAAGTACAGCCAGAGTGCTCCTTAGAGGTGAGGATGGTGAGACTGCATCTCACATACTTTGGACATGTTATCAGGAGGGACCAGTACCTGGAGGACATTGTGCTTGGTAAGGCAGCAGGTCAGTGAAAAAGAGGAAGACCCTCAACAAGACAGACTGATACAGTGGCTGCAACAATGGGCACAAACGTAAGAGTTGTGAGGATGGCGCAGGACCAGGCAGTGTTTCCTTCCGTTACACGCAGGGTCACTGTGAGTTGGAACCAACTCTACAGGACCTAACAACAGCACTTCAGAGTAGCTGACGATCTAATTCCACATGACACTGTGTCTGTGTTTACATCGGCCTCTAACCACCTGCTTAGAAGTGATTTATCCAGAGGAAAGCAGAAAGCAAAAATAATAACCATAAAAACACAACTATGAGAACTGTGCTGTGATTTTAAAAATATCATTCCAAATTCCACAGAAGGTTTTTACCACATGCTACAAAGTTACTAAAATTGTGAACATAGCAATGCATGGGATTTAAAAAAATACTGGGGACTAGAGAAAGGAAGGAAAAAAGTATTCACCAAATATTTCACACGCTTTCATATCAGGATCATCTTAAATGATTGATATTTTCAATTTAAATGATACTTTTAAGTTTTGCTCCATGCTACAGCTCAGTTCACAGAACAGTAAGTGAATCACACTTACTCATTCACTACCAGGCTCTCAGGAGTTAGGAGAACACCAAATTCCAGAAATACCTATCAGGAAATGTAAAACTAGTTATCCATATAAATATACACATATATTTGAAGACCCATGACTCCTTAAAATGAGAAATTCACACAGGCTTACGAGATTAGTTCAGGTAATTCCTACTTAATTCAAGACAAGGAGTATGACTATTGCATTATAGTATTGGTGTTGGTGCATTTATAGAAACACCATTAAAAATAATTAGGGAAATAAATACTTCTAACATTTGACATAAATGAAAGGCTTCCAAAAGTTTACAGTTTGTATTAACACAATTATATGTACACAAACCAAAAAGGCCTAACTAAATACATTAAATCTTATGTAATTATTTACATATAAAAGTTATATCAATTGGCAGTTTGAAAATAAACATTCCTTGAATACAATCATACAATAATTAAACTAAAGAGATTTTTACACTGCCTTTAAAACCTCAAAACAAACTTACATGCTTTAGTTTACACTTGGTAAATTTAAAATTTATATACTACCTGACTCTTAAGTAACAAGGAGGGACAAGGAAGGGCCATCAGTAGGAAAGGAACTTGAAGGGGAAGTAAAAGATAAAACTGAAATATCACAAACATCTGAGTGACAGCTAGTTAACACCTTATTTTGTAGTTGTCTGGCAACCCATCTACGGTTTAAGTCCACAGAAATTACAATTACGGAAAAATAATTACATAGTATTATCAATTAACAATTTTCCTTATCACATTTAAACATTTACATCTTTTAATGTCAAAAATATATTTTCAGTGTTCCCACTATGAATAAAAAAAGGAGGAAATTAAAAAGTATAGTAAATAGGCAAAATAAATATGGGCCAATCATTAAATTTTCTTCTCTAAACCTAACAACATTTAAAAAAAATTGTTTTTAAAAAAGCAGTAATACAACTGATCTAAAGTAGCAAGACTGAATGAACAACAATTTCAAGATTTAAAAAGCTTAAGTTTATAAAGTTGTTCGAGATAAAATATTCCTACTTCTAGTCTTACCAGACTAGAAAACGCTCATGCTTAATTCACCCAGGGTTAGTTTTAAATAGCAATAAAACTCAGAATTATACTGAAGGTCCCAATCAGCACAGGAGATGGACTTGTGGTACCTACTATTCCCGTAATCACTTTTGTTAGCATCCTCTACTGGTGGTTTCCAAAGACAGCAGGGAGAATGGTGCTGACAGAAAGATATGTACCTGCCATTCCATCTAAAGGCCATTAATCAGCATCTAAGTCATTAGTAGCTAGAGCACATGTCTCAAAAATACAAAATACATAAAATAAGAAAACCACAGAGAGTAAAAGTAAAAAATGAGCAGAGAATTTTTTTAATACAACAAAGCATCAAATTATATACGATAAAAATTAATTGAAGCAATTCTAATGCCACTCTTTTATAGATAACTAACATCATTACCATAAAGTTACTGTGTAAGGTTTGGTGCTTTTAACAAACCTTGCACTACTGGTTTACTCCTGTCAAGTTACAGTACTTGATATTCCCATGAATACTCTACCCTGCAGATACATTCCACAAAAGAAATTAAAACGTTTTACTGGAGGCTTAGCGTAAAATCTGCATACATTATTTCAAAATGAACACAAATATTATTCACATATAAATAACAATATAAAGTATCTCTATATCTCACTGTACACGTCACGTATGTCCTCATTAAAAAGATTTAAGGATTAACATTTTCCAGGCAATCCTCTCAAATAAACACCTGCAACTTAAACATGACTGCGTTGCTAAGAAATATTAACCAGTATCTGTTTCTGAGGTTTCACAAGACAATGGCATAGAACTTCATTTTGAATTTGCAAAATATAAGGCTAAAAATCAGATAACGTCACTATAATCATCAGCAATGGATGAATGCATTTGAGAACAAAAAGAAATACAAGGATAGAGCCGAAAATCATAAAAATGGAAGATACCTGTAATAGCACAGTACTATCTTAAACACCTTTTGTTTTCTGAGAGTAATGCATACTGCAGACAAGACGTTTTGTCCTGAACAGCTCCCAAATCTGTTTTTCTAATATTAAACACAAAGGAAAAACACTGACAGCAAGCGTGGTAAATAAATCCCTCCCTTGAGAACGAAAGCAGCAGACAGGCGGGGGCTGACATACATGCAGGAGAAAACTAAACACCATCTTTTTTCTACCTGCACAAGTTGCCATTTGCTGCAGCGATCAAGAGCCTCTTTTTCCTGTTGATTTCAAGTACCTTTCAGGATAGCTTTTTTTCCCCTTAAGTCATCTGTTGATATGCCTTATGACTCTAATATTCATATCACAGGATCTTTAGGAGAAAAATCCATTCTTCCCTGTTCAGGTAAACATGTTTACAGCAGCTGCACAGACGCTGGGTGGTTCAGACTCACATGTCACACACATGTCGTCAGCAACAAGAAAAGCCCCTTTCTCTGGCGATCAACGTTTTAAACAAGGTAAAAAGCCAACAGCCCTTTCCAAACCAACTTACCTTTCATAAAGCCACATCAGCAACAGCGGCAACAGCTCAATACAGAACACACACTATTTGACGCTAAAACAGGAAATTAAAAATGCAATAGGCTATGCACCGCTCCCTGCTATAACGAGTCATCGCTCCACAATGAAGATAGCAAGTATACCTTTAAATCACAACCAATAGAGGTCTTTAACGCGTAAATGTTTATTTAAATAGCAAATTCATTAAAGCAGTGATTTTAATGTCGGCTCAAATATAGTAAAGATAGGTTTACGATTGGAAGGAAACATCTTGGAACAGCTTAAAATCTTCGTATTTGCTTCTAGACAGGAAATCCCACACAAAATCTAAAATTGCCAGGAAAGGTTACAAAACCTCGCGTTTTCGCATCCCGGAGGGGAGGGAGAAAAAGAGCAGGCGCAAGAGGTGGGGGTGGGAGCGCGAGAGAGTTTTTACTTAAACACGTATTTCCTTATTTTCTGGACGATACGGCGATTCCTTCTTTCATTATATGAGCATTTATTTCCCCACTCTTAAACTCGCTTTAATAGTAACGCTGGAACCAGAATAAGCCCCTCGGTCCGAAATGTAAGTGTAATTCCTTATATAGACTCGGCTGCAGCCGGCAGGCAGGGCAGAGGCCCGCGGGCCGTTACCGCCCATTATTATACAAACAGGTACTGAGGCGGAGACCCGGGCTGGGGGCGCCTCGCCCGGGGAGCTCTCCACCGCCCCCGAGCTGAAAAGTCGCGCCCCTCTCGCCAGATCAACTATCCAGACAATAAAAATCAGCAGACATTTCGCTGCTGAAGAAGACGGAGAGAAAGAACAGAATCACCACCGAGATAAGCAGAAATACAATCAACTTACAACGTCTCTCCAAACTGGAAAAGGCGACAGTGCAACAACCAGATGTTTGGGGCTCGCTCTCTTTTTTTTTTTTTAACTCTCACGCCAGGCAGAGGGGGTGTGTATTTCCCCGTCAAATCAGCACAAATCAATAAACACTGCAGCTGCAGCAAGAGCAGCAGAAACGCTTGTCTGTCGGTCCGTCTGCCCCCTCCCCCCACTCTTCCTTTCCACCCGAGACCGAGAGCGCCATCCAAGCTCTATTATCCGGCTTCAGCGCTCAGTGCGTCGGCCCAGGTAACAACTTCCCCCAAAAACCGAAAGAGAAAAGCGAGAGGCGTACGCACAAAACCCCATCCCAGCGCGGAGAACAAGTCTTCACTGGGGCGGGGGGATCTGTCTGTGGTGCTTCCCTGTCTCTTAGGCCAGGTAACAACTCCACAAACACACCCCGAGGCCGAGCTAGCCGCCATCCAGAGGTTTCCCGGGAAGCAGCAAGTAGATGCCCGATCCTGCCCCATCTCCCTCTCCCGCCCCTATCACCTCCCCACAAAATGTGGACATTCTGGGTCTTGGGAAACCCAGCTTCTCACTCGCGGGGCTCAGCGCGGAGCCCCAGGCCGGGCCGCTCCCGCGCGGGGGTGCCACAGGGCAGGGTGGCGCGGGGGGAGGAGGGGCGTTTAGGGACCCGCGTCGC